GCTGCTGTCTCTGGTGGCGTATGCCTTCTCAGGGTCTTCTTGGCCCGCTGGGGTTGGGGGAACGGCCGGGGTACGATGGGCGAGAGCGCGGTCCTCGGTGCGGGCTGCTTACCCGGTGAGGAGGGTTTCCGTGTCGGGATCTGTGAGTATGAGGACACTACTCTAGTCCTTTCAGGATCAAAGACATCGCGATACGCGATTGGACGGTCAAGTACACCAGGACGGTCGGGTGGTCTTCTGGGTTTGGGTTTAGGTGGGGGCTCCCCCCTGTCCTTATCGGACATGTTGAGAACCTACCTAAGTCAGTCAGGTAATCTATAAGGCCCTGTCTAAAAAATGCCAGCCGTTCGGCACGAAGCGCGACGCGGATAGCGAGGTATAAACGTATTGGCGTAATCTTACTGGGCACTGCCTACCCCTTTTGTCAACAAAAGGGTTGGGGGAAGTGCGACGGTGGCACTTTATGACGCGACTAGGCACAGGATGCTCGGAGCGCATAAAGTGCCAAGAATCACCTAGGGGCCGGTGACCTCGACGCGTCATTTACAGCCACTGCTAACTGCAAACAACGCACACCTAGGAGATCCTTGATCGAATTGCAAGAAAACTCGTTTACTGAGCTACCCCAGAGCTATACGCGAAAGTGAGCCGCGCCATTTGTGCGCTTGCGCAACTCAATTACATCAATTTGTACTATCACTCTCTCACGGTTTACTCAATAACTTTATTTGTATAAGACATACATTTATACAATTTACTTATAAAGATAGCACAAAAAATATCTATACTACGATATACATTGCATCTTTATATCATAAAAAACCTTTTATTTATTTAACAAAATATGCTTATTTTACTCACATGTTCAAAGTTGAAATTTCTTAAATATTTAACATGGAAAGTTAAAACAATGTTTTCCACTTGAAATTATACATATTTTAACCAATACAACAGTTTAATTTACATTTTCTCTATACATTTCACTATTAAAACACTTTTAAATTTGTTATACAAAACTATCATTATTTCATTTATTCACCGGAATTTTCACATAAAAATAACACAGAATTCACCTCTTTTACACGTACAATCAATCTGAAATGTTTTACAAGTCATTTTTACATAAATTGCTGAAATTGCAAATATTTAAATTTCTACATATTTGGCCTCCTAAGTACGTGGCTAGCGTGCGTCTATGAACTCACACTATTTGAACAACTAACTTTTGCATGGCTATCGACTATCAGTAAAAATGGAAAGTTTAGTTATACACTAATATCAACAATACTAGGTGAATAAATGATTCTACTCAATTCTCAAACGTTGAAAACTATTTCTAATCATATTCTATTCAGATTCTTATCAGTTATCATGTTTCTTATCAAACAATACAAGTGAATGTTTTCATAAATCAATCATAGAAAATAGGCATTTGTTTTCATACAAAACATATCAAACTCATATAAGACAATACTTATGCAATTAATTTCCATTAATTCTACTTATGCACAGCGATCATCTTGATCGGGGAACAAATCCTGGTCTCTAACTTTATTTTAATATTTAATTTAAATTAACATTATTGGAAAGATGATTTCAACCGGGGAACAAATCCGGTAACATAATTTATATCTTAAATTCCCTATATGAATTTATTAAGAGATATTACTAAGAAAACGATAAACTATTCCGGCCTGGGAGTCGAACCCAAGACCTTCATATCATTAATTCGATATTTCTTTAAGATTCAACTAAGCATTTTCTTATCGGAATATTGTTGCTTGATAATTTGCTTTTTAGAAGCTATTCGTAATCGGTTAACTAATAAATTGAAATATTCTTATAGGCGAGTCGCCAACAGTATTACTGTCCTGGCATGTCGCAAAATGGGACTAATCGGATATTGGATTTGTGATTGTGTAGGCGATGGCCTAGTCACCTATCCTTTATTTAACAATTTTTCATCTAAACCCGTATTAATTAGCTTAACGTGGTTCGAATCGTTCGCTGCTATTTGGACTCAAGGCTTACATTCAAGTGTGCAATATCGAGCTGATGACGTTGTAATTTCTAAATGATTAATCGAAGCGTTCAGCGTAGATTTCATCCATAGATTTACTATACAATAAATCATTTAAATACGTTTAATTTAACTTCTTTAAGTCCCGGTGTTTCGGGCACTTTACAGCAGCCATGGTTAAGAGGGGGACTGAGGTGTTTGACGTCTTGAAATCATAGTTAATGAAGGCTACCCTTAAACATTTAAGTATCAACTTTTGGTCCGATCTACGAAGAATGAGTTTACAGTATCTTGAAATCGTGCAGTATTTTGCTTGAGTTTCGATTTAATATTATTAATCATAGAATTCTAAGCAAATTATTGTGCCCAATTATGTAGGTACTCTATTGAAATTAGGATGTTTTTTTAATTTCAATAGCCTCGCAAATCATCTAATCTCTCAATGTGATCTAATGGTTGAGACGATCCAGAACATGTTCACATACTGCAGACTTTCCGGAACGCGGGTGCTTCACATCAGACATATATTCTTTTATGTGGGTTTTTATGGATCTTTTCGTTTGTCCAATGGAAAAGAGACCACATTCACAATTAAGCATACAATATTTCCATGAGAACATACTACAAGTCGTTGTAGAAAATTAGTCTGTTCTTACTACCCGTCAAGTGTAATTCCCTCGACAAGATTCAGGAATGTTTAAGCTGTTTATGTGCTAGTTTATCATTCTATAAAAATATCTTGTGCTACCTATATCACTACATAAAGTAAGAGAAAGATTATATCAGCTCTTTAATTTATTTGAAGGTTGTCTTATGCTTATTGTTATGAGGCTACTTCGAGAACCGTTATTACATTATTTCCCATCGGCTATCGGTGCTTCGAGCTGTGTGGCCTGATCATTACCAATACATATCACTGTCTATTGGGTTGGCTAATATAATCAAGAATTTCTATGGGCCATAGGATTCACTTACCTACAGTAAGATAGAATGTGTTATATGCATTAACTTATATATTACTAGCGTAGAGACCGGGCCGACCGAACAACTAAAACGGACCAGTGCGTTGCCCTAAAATTACAGTTTAGGGCCAACGCGAATCGGTCGACAGTAGTGCGCGCGCAGGACAGATTTGTCTGTCACAAATAGGTATGTATGTATCTTTTACCACGCTAGTTGTGTGGCGTAGAATGCAAAAATTACGATACAAAGATTTAAAAAAAAAACATGGGATATCGTATCGTCGCTAAATTACCTTATATTAATGTTGTTACAATTAAATTATTATATAAACGCATTTTTAAAGTTTTATTTTACAGTTAGTTTAGTTATGTTACCAAGATTAGGCCAGGGTTGGATTCAGACCCTCAAAAATATTGTACAAGGAAAATTAAAATTATACTATTTAAAAAAATTATATCACGTTTGACGTTTCATGTTTCTTTTTCTCATGTGCCGGGATTTTGGCGTCACGCGTCTAGTTTATCTAAATGTTTCGTTTTTTGACGGTTTTATTTTTACTTCTGTTTAATTTTTGTCTAAAGAACTTAGTGTAATTTAAATTTTGAATATTCGTACATAATATATTTTATATTCAATAAGGGTAAAACGAAAAGAGTACAAAAGAAACCATATCTGCTTAATTGAATCTGAAAATCTGATTCAAAAATATTTTAAAATTCTGTTTTCAAACCCATTGCTTCTGGAGTATAGAGTTTTTGTCGTGGTAGCCCCTAATTATAGTTGTATCAAGGATGCAACATAAAAGCATCGATCGAGCATCGATTGACCAGAAATGGAGCTAATTCAAATTTTATTAAAAAAACGCGATACTCATGTACAATACAGAAATTATCGATATCGTAGGGTTAATATTAATGTGTAAAAGGACCCAATAATAATACAAGTCGACCTTTAGGTAAAATTATGGTATTTTCGCTTAGTATTATTACGATATTATGTATACGAAATCCGACCCTGATTACGTCGTGTTTAATATCGACGACAAAGTGGCAATTACTCCTATCTCAATTTTTGCGATTTTTTATTCCATAGTTATACTTAAAATGACCTAATTCAGGTCCTCATGAACACACCAGGTCTTTAGGGTCAAAATTGAGCAAGATATTGAGGTGTGGCAATACCTTCTAAGTTATTCTAAAAAAAATTGCTGGCAATTTATCCTATCTAAGCTGTGTCCGTTTCATGGTAATCTAGTAGCCGACTGAATGACGGTTAATTTTCGCGCGACTCATCGAGCAGGTTGACGTTAGTTGTGCATGGGTCGAGTGAGACGCATGATAATGTGTGGAAGAGAGCAACAACATAGTTACTCGCGCATGGCATTGTTTTGCAAGGAGAGCATTACTTAGGATATTCAAAACCAGCAAATGTTTACAGGATACTTTAAGATCTGCTCGAATTATGGGAGAACGACGCAAGTCTGATTATTGTATTAAAAGTAAGTTAAGAAAGTGTTCTAAAGTAAGTGAAGACTGTAGAAAACAAATACACAGATTCTTTTGGAAGCAAATGAATTGGGATCAATGCAAAATCTGTGTTTACTCATTAGTGAAAAGCTCAAAAACTGCATAAAAACAACAAACATTGTTCATTCCGGGCGTACAGAAACTGCATTATATTTTTTGCCTATCAATAGCGACGGCTCAGAAAAAGTACAAGTTTGTAGAACTATGTTCCTTAACACGCTTTCGCTGGGAACTTTTACTGTACGTTCTTGGACAAAAAATAATGACTTTGGTATGACACCACATCAAGAATTAAGAAACTTAATCCGCAATCCTACATCAAGATCCGATAATACGCAAGAGTTATTGACGTTAAACAACTTTCTATTCTAGATAATATTCCGAAATTACCATCACATTATGCTCGAAAAGATACTACTAAGTTGTTTTTAGAACCGTCATTCCAATCTTTCGCAGACATTTACAGAATGTACAAAAATACTGTTCAGAAAATGAAGAACCGCCTGTTTGCAGATATATATACTTTTGAACAACAATTTAAAGCAACAAGTTTATCATTGTACACTCTTGAAAAAGATATGTGTGACATTTGTACTAGTTACACAGCAGGCAATTTGAGCGAGGCTGAATATCAAATGCATATTATAGAAAAGGATAGAGCTAGACATGAAAAGGAAATTGATAAAAAGAAAGTTGCTGACGGGTAATTTATTTTACTGAGCATGGATTTGGAATCTGTAAAGGTTTGACCCTTTTTAACCGCTAGTGCGTTATACTTTAAAACTAAATTAACAGTCCATAATTTCACAGTATTCAATTTAATTAGTACATATTGCACTTGCTATTGGTTTGATGAAACATCGGCTGACTTCACTGTACATTTGCAAGTACATTTGTGTCATTTTTAGTCGATTTTATCGAAAGACATTGCCACCAACTCCTACCGATCGTAATTTACTCATATGGGTGTACGTATCAAAATCTTAATACTATTATGTCAAATGTCCTGCTGTTTCTAAGTAAAAAGCACAATAATATCAATATAACTCAAAAGTTTCTAGAACCAGGACATACGCAAATGGAGTGCGACTCTGTCCATGCGGCAATCGAACGAAAACTCAAAAATCGAGAAAATCACTTACAAAGCGATTACAGTACAATTACAAAGGAAGCAGCATGCAGGATAAATCCTTATGAAGTTATACAAGTCGGTTACGTTTGTAAAAAACTACGCTTATACTGAAAATTGGTATTACAAAAGTATAAGACCTGGGCGTAGGGCTGGCGATCCACAAGGAGTAGACACAAGATTTTTTATCATGATAAGGTCCAGTTAATCGTTGATTTATGATTTGTAGTTCTCAGATTTCAAGTTATCTTTATGTTATGTGTCTTTACTTTAAAAAAAATTTGGTACTTGTATTTTAGATTATTGTAACAACATTGTAGATTTTTGAACATACAATGTTTGTGATATCGTCCAGTATTTTAAATACTAAGCTTATTCGACCAATGTTTCGCTAAAAGTGATTAACAAATAGTGATTATTCAATCAAAATACAGTTTTTTTTGTTCGTTGCAATACCTGCATCTCAAGAAAAGAAAAAAAAGAAAAAAAATTGTAACAATTCCTCCTATGTAATAATATTTCAGAAACCTGTAATATTTCACTATATTTAACAATACAGTCTTATTTCTTATCTTCTTATAACAAAATTAATACTTTACAATGTTCCAAAAGTATACGTAAAATTAAGAGAAACTTTTTTTTCGTCTCCAGTAAAGTAGTGTTTTTTGAGTTACGAGTAATTGCCACTTCGTCGTCGATACGACGTTTGTATAATGACAGATGCGCTACTTTTTCTTGTATGAAAAAGTTATGAGTAAAATATTTAAATGGGCCTATCCTTCCTTTGGAATTCATTGATTATATGCTCATTCCTTTGTTAATATAATTCGTAAAGAAAAGTTAAAAGTTTAGACATTTGTTGATTGAAGCTCACTGGGAAATCTTCACCTTTAAAAACTGACTCAAAAATGTTAAAAAATATGTTGCAGAAACATCAGTGATTCGCATGAAGACAAGTTCATATTTCAAATGACGTTGGATTACTTCGAAGCGATCTCGTCAGTATCAGGCGAGAATTATTTTCTGGAAGATAAATCCAAGCAACAAGAACCAGAAGCGACACCCCGTTTGCATCACGTTCTATAATAATCACGAGCGCGCGCGGCCGCCATACTGTCTGAGGCACGAGCTTTTTATAATAAAGCTAGATGTAATATTTTAATTCGTCTACGTCAAAAGCTTCACTGTTTTTTTGTCTGTTAGCTCTGCGGATTATTATTATTATTAGGGTATCTATATAGTTTTCTCATCTGGTTGGGTTCCATAAATATATAATTGTGAATGAAAATGATAACTATACATAAATATCAATAAAATAAAATAAATACATAAAAATGCATTAATAAGTAAAAGCCCAACCAGAGATCAAACGGCCGAGGGTTAGGGGAAAGGGAAAAAAACCGGCGGACGATGCGGGCGGTATCGAGGGAGCACCGCCTTCTGCACTTGAGCCCAGAGCGGTCCGTCACGGAGTCCCAGTCGCCTCAGATAACCCGAAAGGCTGACCAGGATTAGCCCAATCGCAGAGACGACTACAGGAATAATTTCGGTCGGCAGACCACCCCACATTTCAGTGATTATTATTATTTAAGCGTTATTTAAACGGTTTACTAAGCTTTGCCTCCCACTAAATGGTGGACAACTATGAGTCTTAACTCATATTCTGCCGTCAAATAGCAGCACTTACCCTGCTCTGTTCCAGTATGAAGGGTAATAGAGAGCCAGAATAACTATAACTGTATAACTGTAAGACACTCTATCTTATATTTCAGATGGGACACCACATCTCTAACCTTCTTTGTTTGAAGTTGGCCGCAGTTATCCACTGACATGAAGTAACCATTTACCATCAGGTGGACTGTAAGTTCAAAGCTGGAAGGTTCTAGACTGGGAAGGAATACCTAATGATAAATTAGTAAAACAGTTTTTGTGTATACGCATATATTACTTTACCATTTTATTAAATAATGTAAAATAACCAAACAGTCTTCTTTATTACATTACGAAACTCAAGTTCTCATTAAGCCAGTTTTGAGAAATTATTAATAAACATCGCTCTCTTTCTTCCAACACATCTACTGCTAACCGTTCTTCTAATACAGATAATGCCTATCCTCCAGAAGGAGGGGTTTGACGGAACCGCCACGATTGCCAGCGAGACGTTCGATTTACAGACGTTTCGCGATGTTTCAGGGAATGTTAGTTGTATTTCCATTTATATCAGAAGCTACAAGAAATTTCACTCCTTTATTTTATCAATCCTGCCAACACCAGAGGGAGAGAGAGGCTAATTTAGTCACCTATATTTTATATCTTAAAACTTACTTCATTTACTCTAAAATTTTAGGTCTCATGTTGGTCTGGCACTTATATATAGGTCCTATGTTTAGGTGGAATTTATAATTTGTTATAGACATATAGATTGTTCCAACGGCGTCGCTTAAGTGCATGTGAAAAGGCGATTAATGGAATATGGGGTCTGTGATTGTGTAGGTAATGGGTTACCCAACTATAAAACCCTTTCACAAATTTTTATCTTTACCCATTATTTTGGCTAATAATAGTCGAAGTAGGTCGCTGTTTTAGAAGTCTACCTACTCCCTCGGAATTAAGAGGTGTGATGCTTATTGCTTATACCTTTGTTAAAATTTAATATTTATCAGCCTATTCTTATAATATTACATTCTTTGAGTTATTATATTTGCGGAATTTTTCGTTTAATAAATAACTAAATTAAATAAGAATGTTTTAAATGTTGGTTGAAATCAAAATAATTAAATGTCTCCATTTTAATTATTCCTCACTCATGTCATTAATTCGCATAATGCGTCTTTAAAACTAATTAAGGAAATTTATTACGTCGCTACTAGAAAAAACCTGTTCTACTTAAAATAATGATTTAAATTTAAAAATATCTGACAGAAGCAAATTGTCGCATCCCCAAATATTTTTAAACTTAAACCAAACATTCATGTATCTAAATTCGTCAATTTCACCAAATATCAGCACTACACCGTGACACGGCGATATCTAAAGTGAAACATGGTTTTATTTACACACAAACTAAGGAGCAATCGCTCGCTATATTAATCAGTGTCGCTTCAAAGCCGAGATCAAAGCGGTTCATGTACGCGTCGACTGAAAACTGGTGATTTTCAAGAGGTGATTCACTGCTTGATGGTTACACTCACTCACTACACAGGTTACATTGTATGTATGCATGCTTAAAAAGATACCCTGAATCCTTTAAATGACCATTATTTATCGTTATATTTGTAATCAATAAGTTTATGTACGTATAAAAAAATACACGTTTTTAAGGACTAAAAAGTATAAAATTATTTTTGTGGTTTTTCTTTATTTTTACATTGTCATCTGATTCTGAGCTATGTTCAAAATTAAGGACTCGAGCTTATCGGAAATTTAATTTAAATTCACTTACCAAGTTCGTCGAACAGGCATAAACGAAAGCGCGTTAAAAACGTGGTAAAAACTAACCGTGGTAGGTACAACAGCGCGAGTCATCGAAGCCGGGTGGATTTGATCCGCGCCGGTACCAATAAAATGGTTAATTGCTATTTTAGATGCTGAGTTATCACGTGCTCTGCTAGATATGTGAAGTTAGTAGATTTCGAGACATGTGAAGTTCGCCAACGCGCATAAGAACTGCGCGGCGGACATTTCCTTGCCCTACAACTCTTTCAGAAATGAGAGGAGGTACTTATTGACCGTACAGTAAAAAAGGGTCTCTGGTTCTTAACTCACCATGCGAAACACAGCAGCATTAAGCTGCTTATTCAGTCACGTATTCAGTGAGAGCGTGCTCCTTCCCCGATCAAGCCAACCCAATACAACTACAACTCTACAACCGTTATCGTTGCAGCATAGCTCTACCAAGTAAAAAGTTGTTAAGAAATTTCACTTAACGGTTTATTTCATTGAGTTGAGTTGTTTATTTATCGAATATGATGAATACTTTTAATCACAATCGGTATCTTTATATAATCTTAATTTATATAAAAAATAACCTGTCACGTAAGTTTATTAAGTTGTTCACGTTGTAAGCTGAAGTGGCAATGGGCCGGCCATATAGCTCGAAGAACCGATAACCGATGGGGAAGAAAGGTTCTTGAGTGGACCCCCCCACTAGATAGAGTGACGACCTGGTAAGACATGCAGGAAGTCGATGGATGCAGGGGGGCTCAGGACCGTGCTTTGTGGCATACCTTGGGGGAGGCCTATGTTCAGCAGTGGACTTGTGAAGGGATGTAATGATGATAATGACGAAAGGATTTTAATAGGACATGACAAAGGGTCGTCGAAAAGGGCAGAACAACGTCTGCCTGGCAAGCTAGTTATATATAATCCTTCTGTATGTGTGTTTGTCACTGCACTTCTCCTAAACAGTGTTTTAATCCCTGGGTGGTTAAGATTCGCAATTGGACCCGGTAGGTGGCGCTGTTGTTGAGATGCAGGAATAACCCGTGCGAAGCCGGGGCAGATTGCTAGTAAGTGATAAATACTCATTTACAACGATAGATAAATAAACAGTTTATTATCCACGGTAAAGCATATTGTATAAGTTTCCAAGAAATAACCGAAGAAGCCAAAGCTGATTTTGCGAAACAATAAATCCGAGTTCCACGTTAATGTCTTAATAAAACAACGTCGAAGTTAACACCTCATAATCTTTTCATCCGAATCTGTCAAGTTTAATGCAGGAAAATAAGGAAAACGGCATTTCCACGAACTCGTGTTTAATTAAATAAAGAACTGAGAGGTTTTTTTTATCACAATCATAAAATGGCTAACAAGACAACAGTTTACATGTTCAAGTGGATACTTCCGTTTATGAACACTTGTAACCATATTCATACGAACTAGCTGTGCCCGCGACTTCGTTGACGTGGAATCAGTGCTTTCACTATTCTAAGTGATGATGATTTACTTGTAAATTAAACTGTCGCGAAGACAGAAAGACAATAATCTGAATAAAAACATTCAGTTAGGCGGTCAATAAGCCAAACTGTACGCTTGTCGTTTATTTTGTAAATAAACAACAAAATGACCACAATAATGTAATCCCCTCAGATCATATAAACAACAGGAGACATGCCCGGTAGTTAAAATGTATCGGAACCCGGTGTCTCCAGTTTGCCCCCGCCACTCGCCAACTACTACACATGCAGTTCATTAAATTGATAGATACGCAGTAGCGCACACACACGCATTCACATCTCTAACTCACAAAAGCCGGCAGCGGCTGCTTCACGAAACTATCGTGTAAGTGAGAGTATCAGTAAAACACTTATCCATTGCGCTATTAGACCAGCTGATTCACAGGTCGATTTGTACTAAGCAAGCAATGGTTTTTGTTCCTAATGAAAACATTTGATTTGGTTTTTCATCGTGTTTCTAGTACCACGAAGTAATGTTTTAATAAATTGAATAAGAAAAACATTAATATTTTAGTACTTACGTGTGAAATGAGATGCCATCTTTCATGTAATTCACATTTCACAATACAGCTGTTATTTTTGCAAACAATCACTAAACAACGCGGCATTTTGTCAAAAATCACGAGCAGTGAAGACGTCACAAGTTGACATTCGACTAATTACCGAAACTGGCATCAGGCCGCTTTGCGGCCGGATGCGTTCGCAATTGCCACGCCTCCTTGCCATATCTCCTGTTGTTTATATGATCTGAGGTAATCCCTAATTTGCTCCCAAATTTCTCTAGCCGATACTTGGTTTCCATACGATAAATAAGATATTGCCCTAAATAAGCAAGCACCATCACTAATTATTGATATTAAATAAAAAAATTTAAATGAAAACTACAATCCAATGCCTACCTAAAACTAAGTACCTACACTAATGGACGCTACACACGATCAGTTCAACTGATCATTCCAACTCATCAGTTCAAACTAAAACTGTTGATATTTTTTAAAATATTGAATTTCCGATATATTGATTACTAGCTGGCCAGGCAGACGTTGTTCTGCCCTTTTCGACGACTCTGTCATGTAATATTAAAAATCCTTAAATTCGCAAAAACATGTGGTCACTTATGGGCAAAAA